TTGGTCTATGTGTGCAGAGCGTGTAGAGGGTTTGTGGGTTAAGTCTGAGGTTAGCGCAGGGTGTCCAGACTGCTTCGTTTTGCTGTCTGATTCAGTAGAATGTCACCGTATTCGAAGCAATCTCATAAACATGATGTGTTATATTGATCATCGGTATAGGGAAGATGGGGTATCCAATCTCCTCTGCGATAGACATCGTAGGCCATTTTTGAGACTGTAAGCAGACTGTGGTCGTCGTAGCGGATATTCATCCTAGCCTCTATCTGAAAACGTGTCGTGGATTGTCTATAGAACCTTGTCTGCCGCAGAGACTGTGTCTTATTAGCAAGCTGCGTTCGCTATTGATTAGTAGGGACTCATACCATTCAAGCCTGTGTTATCAGGCTCAACGTGCGCTGCTTTGACGGTTCCATCCTCGATGACCAGAGCATATCGCTTGGAGCGGTCACCTCCGAAGATGGATGCACCGTCGAAAGAGAGGTCAAGGGCCTTTGTGAAGCTCAGGCTGGGGTCACCGAGGAAGCGGATCTACAGAGGTCAACAGGGTGTTTTCTCATTGGAGTGCAAGGAACTCACACCGCTGGAGCCAGATGGATCAAGCATCTTGCCCCATGCTTTCATGACAAAAGGGTCGTTCACAGAGACAACAAAGACCTTGCCGGCATCCTTCAGCTTGGAGGAGTTGATGTAGCCCGGGATGTGGTTCTCAGAGCACGAGGGCGAGAAGGCAGCCGGAACGCCTTTGCCATTGTCAAACACATGTTCACTCAGTCGACGCTAGGGGAAATTTACCGATAATCACACCCTTTCCGGACAACTCGTTGGCCAGGTTCACCTTGTTACCTGGCGAACCCTCGACGAGGTCAACGCTGGGCAGCTTGTCACCGACATTGACGAATGCAGGTGCCGAGGCGTGGAACAGACGTCGACCGGCGACTGGACGAACTAGGGGTAGACGGCGGGCGGTAGCGAACATGGCGTGTATGCAGGTAGAGGTGCGTGAATGTGGGCGTGTGTGAAGAGAGCACGTGTGCACTTGGTGGTGGTGAGGCACTGGTGGTGGGGGTATTTCGGTCGGAAGACGGCAGGCGCGCCCACCGGCCGCGTCCCACTTGACGTGTGCAGCCTGTCCCCGAAGTATGCAATATCGGAACACATGGCAGCATCGTGTCCATAAATAAGAGCTGTATATATGCAGGTTAGTCTTGAGTGCAGCAGCAAATTGCGGATAATGATACTGACCCATTCGACCCACACCGGTACTAGCGCAGCCCAACTGCACGCTTGCTGCTGTATGCCGATCGTGCCTCAAGCCGGTGGTGAATCGTCAACGGCGTAATCAGTGGGGACATGGGTTGCAGAAACACGGAAACATTGGCTGGGACAGCCACGCCCGGCGTACCATGGTCGCCGAAAAAGGACTGCAGGTACTATGGCCGCGCTCGCGATGTGTGTGCGGTGTGGAAACGGGGTGCGACTCAGTCTGCCCATGGCCGTGTCCCGTGTCCTGTCATAGCAGCAACCCCCTGGCTCGTCTCCTCGGCACGTCGCCCGCTTGGCTTGCTCCTAGCGCATGCTCGACTGCATTCCTCTCGAGCCCAGTGTTAACCTGCTTTAGGCCCGTTTAGCTCCCAAGTGCCCGCGCAGAGGTGCCCATGTCTCCCTGTTTCTTACACTTGAAGGTTCCAGATCTCGTCCATCGCCCTCCGTCCGCCTGCAACACGGCGCGCCCTTTTTGGGAAATTTCGTCATCGCCCATCCACCACCGATCCGCCCCCGGCCAAGCAAAAGTTTAAACCACTCCAACGCGCAACCGGAACCTTGCGCACCGTCGTCCGTAGCTCCATCGCGGTCGCCTCCAGTGGTGAAGACTGTGACTGGATTTCAGCAGACCCTTAGGCATCGACTCGACTATCCGGGTGCGGTCGCGCATCAACACGGATCACCACCAGCGGCATTCACGCCCACAACGCCGCCCAATTCACCATCATGGATCCCAGCCAAGCCGGTGGGGGAGGGTCCAACAACTCCAGCGACTTTGTGCGCAAGCTGTACAAGTAGGTTGACGCGCCCATGCGCGCTGTGCTTCGCGCTGAACCTCATCTAGGATGCTGGAGAACGGGAGCGACGAGAGTGTAGTACGATGGGGAAATGACGGCGACAGTTTTGTCGTCCTGGAAGTATGCGCCTCGGGCCTTCAATATCGTGGCAGACTTGCTGACCCAGGATCAGAACGAGAAATTTACAAAGCACATCCTCCCCAAGCACTTCAAACACAGCAATTTCGCCAGTTTTGTCCGCCAGCTGAACAAGTACGATTTCCACAAAGTCCGTCACAATAACGAAGAAAATGGACAGTCACCGTACGGGCCTGGAGTATGTGGCATCCCTGGATACGTCTGCGGGTATCGTGGCTAACAGCCCCATAGGCCTGGGAATTCAAGCACCCCGACTTCAAGATGAACAACAAAGACGCGCTCGACAACATCCGTCGAAAGGCCCCCGCGCCGCGGAAACCCAACCAAGCCGCCGCGGAAGAGTTTGCGCCCTCGCAACAGATGGACATGGTTAGCGGACAGCTGATGGCCACGCAAGCTCAACTGCATGCGCTCGAGAGTCGCTACAGTGAATTGAGCATCCACCATTCCATGCTCTTGCAAGAGGTCATCGGGCTACAAAAGACGGTTGTCAACCACGAGCATGTCATGCAGCAGATCATGACTTTCCTACACGGCGTTGATGCGACGCAAAGGAGGAACAGCAAGCTCGTTTTCCCCAACGGCACCGACTCGCAGAACGGCAGCATGGAGCCCGCCGCAGCCAACGATGACGATAACCCCGCTTCTCCATTGCAGCACGCTTCTAAACTTCTAAGCGAAACAAACGCAGATGCTATGCTGAACCCCCGAAACCTGGAGCAGATGAACGAGATCACCATGCGGATGAACGGCACTTTGACAACCCCACCACCAGATATCGCGCGAGCAACACTGCGACCGACGAGCCGCGGACCGCCATCAGCAACTTCGACCAACTCAATGCGTCTCGAAAACCTCGATAACCTCGTTTACCCTGTCGGTTCCAACCAAGGTATTGACCCCATGTACAGCGAGCACATCAACAACATTCCCTATGCTGCCCCGCCCAAAGCAGTAGAATCCAGCGAACCCAGAATGCCAGAGCCAAAGAGGAAAAATGCTATTCCAGATCCAGGATGGATTCGACCGCCTCAGATTCTGCTCGTTGAGGACGACCCCACGTGCCGTCGAATTGGAAGCAAGTTCTTGTACGCTTTCCACTGCTCCATCGATAGTGCTGTAAGTCATCTACTCTCGTCGTTTGTACGCCATGCTAACTGAACCCAGCTCGATGGTCTGGAAGCTGTCAACAAGATGAACGCTGGCTCAAAGTACGACTTGGTCTTGATGGATATTATCATGCCAAACCTGGACGGTGTATCAGCATGCCACTTGATTCGACAGTTTGACACTACACCGATTGTTGCTATGACTTCTAATATCCGAAGCGACGACATCTCCATGTACTTCCAGCATGGTAAGAGAAATTTGTTCATTCTCAGTCTCTGTACTAACATCTCCAGGTATGAACGATGTTCTCCCCAAGCCTTTCACTAAGGAAGGTCTTCTACACATGCTAGAGAAGCACCTTGTTCATCTCAAAAAGCCAGTCGCTCAGGCTGACGGAACCATGGTCGCGCCCCAGCCTGTGCAAATAGCGCGTCAATTGGTGCTCAAAGAGGAAGATTCTCCAGCTAAATCTCCACAGACGGTCAGCAACTGGAACTCACCCAACCAAATGCCCGGCGTCTCTCCTGTAGGCAGCACGGTCCCGGACGATTTTGCGCAAGCAATGCGAGGTCAACCAGTCCAACACCCAGGTCCATATGGTGTGAACCCCATGCACGGGAACATGGGATACAGTACCTCACCACACATGCAAATGCAACAGCAGCAACAATCACAACTAGCGCCGGGTCATCGCCGTCAAGTCTCGGAAATATCTGGAGGCGACGATATGAACAATCCAGCGAAGCGTCAACAAATGTACCCTCCCCAAATGCCACAGCAGATGGGGTCCATGCAACCACGCCCACGTTGATAGTAGGTGCAACTGTACGTTCAGGCGGTCTCGCCAATCAAGCCTCACAACGAATGTGATGCAGCCACCTCTTACAGGATGACAGGTGTTGAGCATATGTTGTACTGCTGGACAAAGGCAATCCAGCCATTTTCAGGGCCGATAGTCGTGATCGGCTCTTGTATCTACAGGAGAAAAAGGTGCAAGAATAGGATAGCTCAGGGAGCTGTCTGTCAGGGTATTTTAGGACCTGCAAGTCTGAGGCGTTCAAGGTCATCTATCCATTGTATCAGGTCTGGGTTGGACGGTTGCTAGAAAAATACCCTACTTGCTAGATAAACAATTATATTCTTCTCTCGAATATAGGGAGGTCAAAGTAGCCAACGTCAAGGATATCTATACTACTTATTTTTCGCACTTCCCTCATTGTGGGCTGTCTTGAAAAAACTGATGATTACTCATGTCTCTGGATATCAGAAATCTCTGACAGCAGCTACTGACTCTAAAGCTGTTCGTGTAGAGCTACAGGTCTCGCTTTGCATGCCAATCTTGGTCATTCCCTTCAGGTACAAGTGTCGTCGCAATAAGCATTTCCGAGCACATGTCTGCCCTGGTGGTCCAGACCTTGATAGCCAGCCCAGAAGGCCGCGCACGAGCATGTTCGAGAATCATGCGCAGCGGCTTACCCGCAGAGCCACCCCGCTAAAGGATCTGAGACGTGACGGAGACCCGAAGATCTGGTAGGCGTGGTGGTCCCTGGTCGAAGGCTTGTGACTCAGCGGTGGTGGTCAGTTAGTGGGAGCTTTTTGGAAGTCGTAGGCCAAACCCCTCCACGTGCACCACGAATCTAGAATTCTAAGCGCCCCTCGAGCTTTTGCGCAACACACTACCCAAAACTAAACATGCCACCGAAAGGCAAGAAAGGCCAAGACAAGGGCAAGTCCGGCGAGGAGGAGCGAGATGAGCCGCTGCAGGCTGTGGTAGGTTGCGCAACGCAACTGGTCGCGAATTATGCTAACCTGGTAGATACTCGCGGATCCTTTCGAGACACGCTTCAGTCCCTTCACACTCGAGCACCCAAGAGTACGCGCCCCCCGAATACTGCCAGCTGTACGCTGACGCCTGCTAGTGCCTTCTGCCCCTCGCGAATACCCCGCTCATCGAGTACACGTTCGAGTTTCTCGCCAATGCCGGCGTGGAGGAGGTCTTTGTATACTGCGGCGCACACAGGGAACAGGTTGAAGACTACATCAAGGCCTCGCGATGGTCCTCCAAATCGTCACCCTTCTCGCGACTGGAGCTGATCCAGTCGACGTCACATTCCATCGGCGATGCGATGCGAGATCTGGACAGCAGAGGCCTGCTGGTTGGCGACTTCCTCTTGGTCTATGGCGATGTGGTCAGCAATCTACCCCTCGAGTCTGCACTCGCAGCGCATAGGGCGCGGCGGGCCAAGGACAAGAACGCTATCATGACCATGGTGCTGCGCGAGGCAGGCGCGACTCACAGGACGAAAGCCCAAGGCACAAGTCCCGTCTTCGTAATTGACCCGCAGAAAGACAGATGCCTACACTTCGAACAGATGCCGAACCGAGACCAGACGCACTACCTCTCCATCGACCCCGAACTGCTCTCCACCCACCAGGAGCTCGAAGTCCGCCAAGACCTGATCGACTGCGGCATCGACATCTGCACACCCGACGTGCTTGCGTTATGGAGCGACAACTTTGATTTCCAAGCGCCTCGCAAGGGCTTCCTACACAGCGTGCTCAAAGACTACGAGCTCAACGGCAAGACGTTCCACACACACATCATCTCAGATCACTACGCGGCAAGAGTACGGAATCTCCACGCATACGAATCGGTCAGTAAGGATATCGTCTCGCGATGGGCATACCCGCTGTGTCCGGACAGCAACCTCGTTCAAGGACAGTCATATCGGTTACAGAAGGGCAACACATACAAAGAGGAGGGGGTCATACTTGCGCGCGACTGTGTCATCGGGCCAAAGACAGTCATCGGTCGGGGCACCAGCATAGGCGATAAGAGCGTCATCACCAACAGCATCATCGGGAGGCATTGTCAGATCGGCCGGAATGTCAAGATTGACGGAGCGTATATTTGGGACTACGCCAGCATAGCAGACGGCAGTACGGTTACCAAGGCCATCCTCGCAAATGAGGTCTCTATAGGCCGCAGATGTACCATCGAAGCTGGTGCTCTGATCTCGTATGGGGTCAGCATCAGCGAGGGTATGACGATACGAGGAGAGCACAGAATTACAAGAGCAAAGCGGAGACGAGAACAAGGAGAGGAGGTTGTCCGTGGCGATGCAGACCCTGCGATAGTTGGCGAGAAAGGCGACGGCTTTGAATTCCACGACTCTGACGAGGATGATGAGGACGAGCTGGTGGATGGTCTGGCTACCAAGGGCTCAAGTGAGTACATTTTCAACAGCGACTGCCGATATGCGCTAACAAAGGCAGTGTACACATTCTCAAACGAGTCAATATCCACAATCAACTCGGATTCAGAAGCAGACATGATGGGCATGGAACGCCACGACAGATCTGCGACGAGTAGTTTCCTGTCTGTGGGCTCAGCCGACAGTCAACACGCGGCAAACTTCGATCACGACGCGTCTGCGAGTATCTACGACTCGCTAGTCGAAGGCCATGAATCCGCCAATATCCAACTGGAACTCACAGCCCTCCGCATGAGCACAAACGCGTCGGACCACCAAGTCAGACGCGCAGTCGTCTCCTCCTTCGTCAAGCGCGTCACCCAGCTCACCAAGTCGGGCGAAGCGATCAAGAGTGCCGTCGCGCAGGTCTTTGGACAGCACAAGGAGCTCATCGACCGCTCCATCTTCGACAAGAATGCTGAAAGCAAGACGGATCAGATCGACTTTATGCTGCTACTCCAAGCCGACCTATGCAACAAGGAGAACGGCGATGCGATTCTGCTGAGCGCATCAACAAAGCTTGTCGAGTTGGACTCGATAGAAGAGGATGGCATGATACAATGGTGGGAAGACGACAAGAGCACCGAGAACGCGGACATGGAGAAGGTGAGGGAGAAGACGAAGAGCTTGATCGACTTCTTGCAGCAGGAGAGCGAGGACGAGAGCGAAGAGGAGAGTGACGAAGACTAGTGCTGGCTACGACACGGTAGACGTTGGTTAGATTGTGGTCACTATTGTACCAGATGTTCAAGCCCACGAGTCTATGTGGAAAAGCAATGCTAGCATGAATTCACGAAAGTCTATGTCGGTGGCCGGTTTCATGTGAGAGCATAGGCGACACCATTACAGAGGCACGTCTTGGCCGCTGTTGTCCGCATTGGACATTTGTGTCTGCGAAAAGCAAAGGGGATGTCTTGAGGGTACACTGCGTTTTACTATAATAGACTGGTGACAGGCGAAAAGGTGTGTTCTAAGCGCGCGGTGAAATGTGGAGAACGCGGTCAGGTTCCGGACGCCCCTGGACTGTTGCCTCCCAGAAGGCGCTAGGGCCACCCCGATGAGTGCCCGCATCGAGGACCAGCAATCGACTGCTAGACGCCATCTCTCACTTCCTGTGACTCCTTCCCTTCTGCGCTGCTGACCAATACGCTGCTGTTTCCGACCACCTGTACCGCCACTCACCACACGCGCCTCAGGCCTTATCTCGTCTTTGCACGTCGCTCCTTTCGCCGCCGCCTGTCAAGCCCGCGTTCCGTCATCAGGCGGGACTCCTCCATCATCACGCCGTCCACCACCCTTCGCAAGCGGAAGGCCGACGAGGCAGACAACTACCTCAGCCCCGCCGAGGAATACCCCCACAAGAAGACCAACCACTCTGTTGTTACTCTACCAGCCACGCCCGCAACCGACGCCGGCAAGATGGACTCGGACGACGACTTCAACAGCTCCATGAGCGGCGACGACTTTGACGACCAGGACAGCGACCTGGACCTGGAAGAGGGTGCGCATACCCCAGATGCTATTCAAGCCACATGCTGACACTGCCTAGACTCCGACTTTGACATGGACCAAGATGACGTCGGCTTTGAATCACAAGACAAGGACATCAAGCCCACGAAGCAGGCCTTCGAGGTAGACTTCAAAGTCTTCGACCCCGCCCAGATCCAAGCACAGCAAGACAAGCAGGTCGACGAAGTCTCGAGCATCCTCGGCCAGCCACCCGAAGCCGCCGCCATCCTCCTGCGGCACCTGCGATGGAACAAGGAGCGCCTGATCGACCAATACATGGAGAAGACAGACGAGGTCCTAGAGCTAGCGGGTCTGGGTCAGGACTCTACCACCAATCCGCCCAAAATAGAGACGATACCAGGCTTCGTCTGCGACATCTGTTGCGACGATGACGCGAACCTGCGGAGCTTCGCCATGAAGTGCGGACACCGGTTTTGCTTAGATTGCTATAGGCAGTACCTCGGCACCAAGATCCAAGACGAGGGAGAGGCTGCCCGCATACGCTGTCCCGGAGAAGGCTGCACTCGCATAGTCGACTCAAAATCGCTAGACCTTCTCGTTACGGCAGATCTCCAAGACAGGTACGTGATGATCGCTCTACTTTCCTCCGACGTGCTAATAGTCGTAGATACCACACCCTCCTCACGCGAACCTACGTCGACGATAAAGAGAACCTCAAATGGTGCCCTGCGCCCGACTGCAAGTACGCCGTGGAATGCCCTGTAAAGAGCAAGGACCTCACCAAGATCGTACCAACAGTACACTGCGAATGCGGACACGACTTCTGCTTTGGGTGTACATTGAATAACCACCAGCCTGCACCTTGCGCGCTGGTGAAGAAGTGGGTCAAGAAATGCGAGGACGATTCAGAGACCGCCAACTGGATATCAGCCAACACGAAGGAATGCCCGAACTGTAACTCCACAATCGAGAAGAACGGAGGGTGCAACCATATGACGTGCAGGAAGTGCCGCAATGAGTTCTGCTGGATGTGCATGGGCAAGTGGTCGGAGCACGGCACGAGCTGGTACAACTGCAATCGCTTCGAAGAGAAGAGCGGATCCGAAGCCCGCGACGCGCAGGCTAAGTCCCGGCAGTCGCTCGAACGATACCTCCATTACTACAATCGCTTTGCGAACCACGAACAGTCGGCGAAGCTCGACAAGGACCTCTACCTTAAGACGGAGAAGAAGATGCAACAGCTACAAAACTCATCAGGCATGTCGTGGATTGAGGTGCAGTTCCTTGACCAGGCTTCACATGCGCTTCAACAATGCCGACAGGTGCTTAAGTGGACCTACGCTTTTGCCTACTACCTCGCCCGCAACAACCTAACGGAGATCTTCGAGGATAACCAGAAGGATCTGGAAATGGCCGTCGAGAACCTCAGCGAGATGTTCGAGAAGCCAATCGATCAGTTAAAAGACCTCAAGGTCGATATCCTTGACAAGACTTCATACTGCACCAAGCGGAGGATCATCGTCCTCAACGACACAGCGGAGAACCTGAAGCTCGGTATGTAGTCCACACGCCTCCATGCACTCCTCACTGAACTACTGCTAACATCAACAGGCACATGGAAATTCAACGTAGACCTAGTCTAGAAGCCTCCTAAACCTCGATCACGACTGCCTCTACTCACGTTTACGAGTACCACAAATACTCTTGGACTGAGAACACGGGTATGGCGGTATTAAGGATCGCTGTCAGGAGGTCTGCGCACGAAGTGTAATGAGCTCACCTTATACAAGGGAAAAGCTGAACACCTAGGAGCCTACGTTGCCGTTAGGCCACTAGCTTCGCAAGGTTTTATCTTAATGTAGGCTCTAGGGTGTTCAGTTTTTTCCTTAAACAGGGTGGGCTAGCAAAGAAGATGAAGTTTCACGCTGTTTTCACGTTGCATGGTCGGTTCCACTGGCGCTTGGAGAGAGGTATGGCATTGTTTGCATGGCGTTGATCAATCTGTGGTAATCAGCGGTTCAGCGGGCTAGGCTTAGCATTTTATCTTCTTTTATCTTCGACATTTCCACATACTCGACGCAGGTTCAGAGAAGATATCGAATTAGACGTTCAAATTTCAGTGTTGCTGTCGCTCTGAGACGTCGTAATGGAGTGCTGTTTGAAATTCGAAGGTTGTCAGTGGCTCTCGCTTCTACGAATCCGTCCCCGCACGACCATAGGATGGTAACCAGATTATGCTGTGCAAGCGAGGGCAAATAGTTCCGCTGCTTTTCTTTCATCCTCCATCGTCTCACATACGTACGCAAATTCTAATCCTACTCCGACCTGCAGACCAACCCAGACGCCGACATCGTCGCCGCCGAGGTCGACATCTTCGTCGCGAGCAACGTGAGTACCTCCCGGCCCCCCTATGATCACCCAGCCAGCACTAACAGAATTTTCGTATAGCTGATAATGACAACGCAAAATACCTATAGCCAGTTTCTGGAACTCCCAGCCGAACTGCGACTGATGATATACTCCTACGCTCTCACCAACTCAGTGCCGGTATTGGCTTCTACCGTCAGCTTCAACACTGACGATGGCTCTATTCAAGTCCCCAAACTCTACGCACAAGAGGAGCATCATACGCGGTACACTCTGGAGACCCCTCATATTCCAAAAGCCGAGTTCAACCAGCTTCGATATGTCTGTCGCCTACTGTGTCAAGAAACGCGGGGTTTGAGCCTGCGGTATAACGAATTGGTTTTCATGAAAGAGCCAGTAACGACAACACCGGCACAAGCAATATGCGCGAGGTTTTTAGAGGCCATTCCTGCCAGTGCACAAGCGAGAATCCGACAGATCACGGTCATCGCGGACACAGTGACGCCCAGGCCGTTGGAACACGCTTCGATCACTAGGGATTGTTGGTACGATATCGGGCAGCTGCTTACAGGCGGCGAATACCCTATCATACACTCGTTCTGTCGCGCCAACCCAACTGCGAAAGTCGTGCTCCGCTATGACACTAGGCGTATAAACAAGTTCGGACACGAAAAACCTCTTATGGTAGGCACCAGATACGCGCTGCTTCACGCTAGCCTACGCTTCTTCTTGCGTGGCTCTTCGGCTGTTGAGGCAGGGTTGCTCCAGGCAATGACAGGTGGTTCAAGTCATCCTCAACATCACTATCCCTACGGATTGTGGAGAAAGATACATATTGCCGAGTGGGCAACCGCTACATGTATGATACCAGCGATAAAAACGACTCCGGATGCTGAGAAGATCTTCAAGGGGGCGCTATTGGACAATTTCAGAGTCACGATTTCTAGATGGTATCGTGTGCCGAGTCCGCTGTGGGTGATGAAGGATGAGTGGTATGCAGCTGCGAGGCGGGAGTTTGAAGAGGGGTGTTAGACGCGTTGGAGAAGTGGAAATGGAAGAAGAAAGGTCATATGGTGCACGATATTGGCTACGGGCAAGATACAGCTTCATTTCCACCCCAAACTCTCCAACCACCAGACCACCGATATAAAAAGTCCATCATCATCTTCCATAACCCTCATCTCAGCGCCTTCCTCAATTTCCTCATTTCATCACCCCTACCACTCATTATCCTCACCAAACCAATACCCTCCAGGCATGTTCACACCCCATCCGGGTTGGTCGAATGAATATGGATCACCCAAGCTAGCATGCATACGCGGTCCGCGGTTGGAGTTAACGCGCGGTCTCCTCCGTAGCTCCGTTGAGTAAGGAGGGCTAACGCTGCGGTAGTCGGCTGAGCGGTATCCGCGACGTGGCTCCTCGTGGCGATTGCGTGGTGGGGAGACGCCGCGCCTGTATGCGTAGGGGTTGTGTTGTGCCCACTCTTCGGGGGTGAAGCGGGGGTACATGGTTGGTTCTGATGGAGATTTGAGCTGGGGTGGATTTACTGGGTGGTGGTGCTTTGGTGTTCTGTGTTGTAGAAAGTGGCTAAGAGATGTAGCGGAGAATGAGTTGGCTTTGTTGATATGGCAAAGGTGCAGGATAGCTCTGTGCTTTTATACGTGGGCTAGATGATGAATGCATAGAAGTCTATGACCGAAGTATGAAGTGTTGCGACAAAATCGGGTGAGTTGGCGGATCATAGCGATGCGCTGGCTCGGAGTGATGGTTGTGATATTTCTGAGGCGCGGTAAACATTTGAGACATTCAATGCAAACTTACTCTGGACGAACAACTATTGAAAGATACCG